TCAAATATTAATGTACAATTTAACCAAACAGGTCTAGTCGCTTTAAATGCGTGCAGGCCTTTAATTCTCCGTGTCGCCGCCGTATGATAAGTAGCCATGTGCTCGGGATGACGTGGGACAACAGCTTTTGACTGACAACATGTTGAGAGAAGGAGGGAAAGGGGGATCGTTCCAATTCTTTGGCGTTATAATCGGAGAAATAGAAGGAGAGGCTCTTTGGGGCTGCTTTTTTATCCACGAGCCCGCCAACATGCGACGTCGGGGGCCGGGAGAGAAGAACCGCTCCCTTGCTCTCTCGAACTCCTCTTCGCGCAATATGACCAGCAATGGTCTCTGTATGCCAGCCAATGAGCAGCAGCCAGTGCTGTCGAGGCGTTAGTCGGCGTTGTCAGCTCTGGGCCAATCAGCAGCCAGTGCTGTCGGCGTAGTGTCCGGCGTTGTCAGCTCTGGGCCAATCAGCAGCTTCCGGATTGTCGGCGTTAGGTCGAGCGTTAGGCGTTAACGCCCACCTCTTATCCTCACCGGCTGCCGTATGCGACGGACAGAAATCCCCGTGTATTTGAGAGAGCAATGAGATCTGAGAGGAAGTGAGTAAAACCAAAATAAATAGAAGATTAATGTACTGATATAACACAGCGACCCCACTGTACTGTTACGATGTACTGAATGGAGTTAATGTTTTATTACGTTCTGCCGGCACTCTCTGGTTAGCTTATGCTATTGAACGTCAGGCGTCCTGTTTACACATTTAAAACCATATTTATACTTGAATTTCGACTCCAAACTGTAGTAACTACATCTACAAGGGTCTCAAGAAGATAATCAGGTAGTCTGTTTATAGATTAAATACATTGTGAGAGATCGCCAGCCCCTCTAGAAAAGTAGTAACTAAAATGACCCCATTCACCTCCTTGTTTTTAGTTAGCAAAATCGCAAGCTGATCTGTTTTACACATTTAAACCATATTTACACTTCAAATTTTGACTCCACATCGTTGTACCAGCATCCCAAGGGTCTTAAGA